GGACTAGCTGCATAATAGATATATTTCAAAAAAAGTATCAGATTTTGAGGTTATAATTGAACCACGAATAGTACGGTTTTTCATAGATCCGAGTGATTTTTAATAAACTGAAAAACGATGTCCTAAAACATTTAGCTATTTTTATTACCTATCTACATAATTAGGTATGCAGTTTTTGTTCTAAAGCCTAAGTGTATGTAAGTGCAACGTATAAATGCATAGAACCTAGTTAACAAACCTGCTTTCTGAGCATTGGTTTTGAAATGAGAGATAATATTTATGTGTATTAATGTAAAAATAAAAATGTATGTTTATAATGGCTGTTAGCATTTAGATGTTGTCATTAGCATATACGGTACGTTAAGATACCTAGTACCTAAATGTATAAGGATTTAGGCTGTCAGTCACGCCGCTAGACATGTCGTCGAACATTGAACGTATCAACCACGGTTTCAACCAAGTTTCAACAGCGCGCGCGTGAACAGCGTGAATATTATAGACTACTATCTAGTGCATTTGCAAGCGTGTGCGTCTGGACGGCGCTGTTCAAACGCGTGACTATGAAACCAGCCTTACCGACTTAGTACCTAATTGATAGTATAAGTTGTTTTTACACCTGCATTAACTTATTATGTTTGAATTAGAAATAAAACACAGATTGATTTCATGTTTATTGTTCATCTTCTAAATTGGAAATTAGAATATCGTTCAAAAACTGAGCAGGGATGTCGATATTATTTTGATGTCTCGTAAAGCTCAAGTACCAAATAATGGTCATAAGATAGGCGCAGCAACCGATGGTTCTGCGTACAACAATGCAATTATAGCAATATTACACGATTCCTTCTCTGTTCATCTTTCAACAATATTGTACCACCAGCAGAGCCGCAATTTACACAAAATACACTTTCCATTGCGTATGCGTAAGTCCGTTTATGAATGCTAGGTTATCGTTTGAGCGATACACAGTTCCAAAAATCACAGCAAGGTAAGTCGTTCTTGAAATCAATCAGCGTCCGTTAAAATAGCCAAGTTGTAATGTTCAATATAATATAGTCTCGAAAATCACCACATCACCGATAGAATTACAATTGCAAACGACACCAACCAATGTAATTTTGACAGAATGAAAGATGACAGTACAAAGTAGGTATGTCAATTTGAAATCGTTTAATCGATTGTTTATAGTAAAATAATCGATTTTCCAGATCGATATAGATCTGAAGAATCCTTGTCCGATGTCGATACAAAAACCTCTCGAATCGGAATTATTCAAGAACTAGCTATATTTCAAACGATTCAAGAAATACTTTTGCATAGTTGGAACATCTGTTCCTTGTGACAGATAGAAAAACTGTTCTGTTCTGGTTTCGATCCCAGGGTCGGGCAAATTGTTATTGGGTTTTAATAACTTAAAGTTCCCAGTAGTAGCACGGAGTCTGGATTTGTGTACGTTGTTTCGCAATACGCGCAGCCCCTATTACAACCTTCTCCTTATGGGAAATATAGGCGTGATGTTATGTTTATTAATTTAATGATGTTTTTATACAGTTACTTGTATTTACGGTAAATTATCGTCAATAATATTCTGTGTCTATATTAGGCATGTTTGAAAATGTCGCGATTGATCAAAATAGATCTGTTAATGCTTGATTTAATCGAGAATCGATTCTTGTATGTTCAATTTGAATCGATTTGAGCCGATTTGGAGATCGTATTTTTTTCATGAGAGACTGACAAGTGATAAGTGGCCATTTAGTGACATCAAAAATAGGAACGCCAAATACGATACGATTTATGAATATTTCCTAAGATTTATTATAGCCATACATTACAAACAGTATTAAATAAATCATCTTTTGTCATACGATAATATTAATGCCATAACAAGTATGACAATATCCTACTTTACTTATAATAACACGTACGCCTCTACTTCTTCCATACTTGTAACAATATTAATAATAACATCTGTACTAGTCTGCAATATTGCTCTTTTTAAAGAACACATTTATAATTAATGCAGTAACGATAAGTGTTTTTTTTAAATATTAATTATCGTAAACTCGTAAGTTATCGTTTAGTAAGACATAAAATACACTCCTTTCTAAACGATCATTAGAAAATCCCGAATAATTATCTTTACGAATATTTTTCTTCAGCATTATTCTAACTACCTATTCAAAATCGAGTATGACCTCATTCAATAGGTATAGTAGGTTTTTTAAATTGTACTTTTAGGGAATAATATAAAAGATTATACAGAAATGGTTATTTAATATTATACAACAGTTAATTAAAAATTCAAAAACCGATTACGATTGATTGAACATCCCTAAACATTTTTCGACACCACATGATGTTTGGCGAAGATGGCGGCGATTAATGTTATTCGTCGAGTATAATACTTTTTAATGTTAATTTTTGCACGCAGCTAGTCCGTGTTATAAAAGTATTTCCAACTAATATAATAAAATTGAAAATTTATTATCGTGTATGTCCGATGCTTTTATTACACAGGGCGATTCTGGACATTGTCCTGAAGTGACACTGGGACGAATTTCGTCGGAGCCTCCAAAGAACTTTGTAAGCTTGTCACCGCTGAACAGTCGTCCGTCGCCGTGGAAATCAAAGAGTGGTTGAGTAATCAGAGTACTCAATGGCATTTTATCCACCCACACGCACCAAATTTCGGAGGTTTATGGGAAGTCGGAATAAAATCGACTAAATTCCACTTAAAACGAGTTGTAGGCAATTCCACTCTCACGTTTGAAGAGTTAGCAACAGTTTTATGTCAAATAGACGCGTGCCTTAATTCAAGGCCTCTATCGATGCTCTCTTCTGATCACATGGACTCTGCATCTTTAACACCTGCATATTTCTTAGTTAGTGAGCCCTTAATTGTTGTACCAGAACGTAATTACGAGCATAGCAACGTTAGTACATTGAGAAGGTGGCAATTGACGCAAAGAATGGTGCAAGATTTTTGGCGAAGGTGGTTGTCGGAGTATCTTGTGCATTGCTTTCAAAGATACAAGTGGTCAAATATTAACCCGGAACCTAATATTGGGGACGTTGTACTAGTGAAGGAAGATAATTTTTCACCAGCGCAATGGTTACTGGGCAGGGTGATTACCAAGCATCCCGGCTTGGACAATATTACTCGAGTTGTCACACTTAAATGCAATGGGTCTCAAATAAAGAGACCAACGTCTAAAATTTGTGTTTTACCAGTAACAAACTGATACTGTCTGTCTGTAAGTATTGTATATTTTGATTATTGTATGTACCCCCTTGACCTCACGGTGGGCGGTAATAGAAAGAACGCAGATACGTTCTTGGTGGGCGGGATGTTGAACCAAAAATCATAGTGTAATTTATTATTTCTCAAAATGTTTTGATCCGCCGTATCTAGATGGCACTAGTCGTAAGTTACAGCGTGCTAGCATAGTATTATTGTAATTTAACATAGGGTCCACTTTAATTTAATAAATTTGACTTTCTCACCATCGTACTGCCGTATTTTATTTACCTAACGCGAGTGCAAGTATCGAGATCCCGGAGGAACGAGGAACCTGTTCAACTAGAGAAAATACAATTGATAAGAATTTCTTATATTCTGTTGCACTGGCGCCGCTCGCTCTATGGCGGGAAAGGATATTGAAATACTGTATATTACTCGAGATAAAAAAAATTTATTATAATGTTTTTGCCGTGAAAAAAGTTTGACTTCGAGTTTTCGTTTTATAGGTAAATATAATATATTTTTTTAATAATATGAAAGGCATGTTGTTAATTTAGATTCTTCATCGGCTTCATTTTTATTAAGATCCTTTATTTCCTGATAAAAAGCGCCGTCTGCTCTATGGCGGCCACTCCTCGGGAGAAGAGCATTCCTCCCCCATCTCCTTCTCAGGTAAGGTGCACCAGAACACATGGCGTGCCTTCCTCAGCAGCCTCCAACTTCACCGATACGCGATGGCCATGGGGCCCAGAAATAAAAGCACTCAGAAGCAAGAATGAATGATTAAATGAAATATACTCTATTGTACACCGAAAAATAAGAGAAAAAAACAATACGCCGCACGTCGATTGTGCAGCGGTAAAGAGCACTTTCCTTCCTGACCCCAGAGGCGGATCTATTCTATGGCTCCGCCGCCAACCAAGATTCGACTGCTGAGGGTGGGGAGAGCGACGCCTAGCAATGCCGTCACTTCTCTTCCCCCGTAGCCTCCCTACCACCGCATCAACGGTGAGGCCCCGCCAGAGTCGCGAAGGGCGAGTGGCGCATCGTCATACCAACACTCCTCTTCCCCTGAGACCCCACCGGGGCTGCGGCAGTGGAGTAAGTCACCCCTACCACCGCAGTCCACTAACACACATCCTAAGTGGCATTGCCAAGCCCACGCGGAGTGGCCACCTCGAGCCGGCCCTTCACCTCGGGCCAGCCATGTAGGTTTCTCTTTGTTTACCGTGGATAACCAAACCATGTCGGCCCAACCACGACAAGGTGGAAGGTGCTCTTAAAACTGGGTGAAACACATTATTTTATTTTATTACACAAATCTTAGCTGATTAGTTTTTAACATCTATACTCTATAAAATACAAATAAAATTGAAGTGTATGTTTGTAATGTCAAAATAAAATATTTTTACTTAATGCATATGAAAGTATATACGATACATATAACAAAAAAAACAACTTTTAAAATGTTTGTCTGTCTGTTTGTTCCGGCTAATCTCGGAAATGGCTGGATCGATTTTGACAGGACGATATCTGATTTTATAAGGAGTATCTTATGTTACTTTTATTTTTTAAATATTAGGGTTCCGCGAAAAGAAATTAAAACCCATGAAATCCCATTGTAAATTCCACGCGGGCAAAGTCGTGAGGAACAGGTAGTCTTGAATATAATGGATTTGTGCAAAGTAACGCCTGATTCTATTATTTATCATAATAATAGTTTTCATACAAATATTGGAAATCAAAATAAGCTTACTTTTCTTGGCTTCTTTAGTATATAGATCAGTAATATAGCCTTCATCGTCCCATGCAGCGCTCATATTTCTAAATAATCCAAATCCATACCTTTCGCCTGAGTCGTCCTGTAGTAAAATAAATTTATATGAATTTTACTATATTTAATTCATAATACCATTAAATGAATTTGAAAAATTTAAAATTAAAAACTTTTTACAACCGACTCCAATATAAATTATTAAGAAAAACTCAAATAAATATTAACAAACTGATGAAGTTTTTGCCGAAAAACATTAAAAGAGTAAAGTTTAAATAACATGGTAATTCCATCATATTTTGGAGGCCACAACTTCCTTGGGACATTTTACCAAGTAGCCTCATAAAACACTTCGCTTTATTACGTATTACCAAGATGTTAATCAGACACAATAATCCATAAAGTCCCAGTAAGCATAATTACTAGGATTTTTTGGAGTATAATATTCAGCAGTAATAACCACATTCCGCGATATACATATATTAGAGCCAATGGAAATATATATATATATATATATATATATATATATATATATATATATATATATATATATATATAATAGAAAAGGGGATTCCGGCAAATTGCCCAGGGTACAGGTTTCTTGCTCATTCTTAGAAAATAATAAAATATGAATTTAAGGTTGGAATATAATAATATATAATAAAAGCTCTATTCTATACATGCTTAAAATATTAAGCATGTATAGAATAGAGCTTTATTAGAATAAAATCATGCGAAGTTTTAAAACAAATTACAACCTTGATTATGACAGATGTAAATATACTTTAATGTTATTAAAAACAACTTAATTATTACATAAAAAGTTTATAGAAATTTATTGAATTTGTACATACCATTTCGTGTAATATGTATTCGTAGTAATCGATATATCCTCCTCTATGACCGTAATGAGTATCAAATCCACGCATTGTTGGAAGGAAACTTGTACGGGACTGACCAACGTGCCATTTTCCTACCAAATGTGTTGCGTACCCTAGTTCCTTCAGATATTGTGGTAAAATTTTCTCAGTAACCGGTAAACCTCTATCTTCACTATTGGTTAAAGGGTATCCTTGCATTCCTAAAAACATTTCATATTTTACACTATCATTCTACACATACTTCTCCAGGCATTTAGATTTAAAGAGTGAACTTTAACAACACAGATTGCTGTCGTTCGCTGCTTGATGTTTAATGTTATTTAAATTTATAAGCTGTTATTTATTACGAAATTAAGCATTTTTTTTACAAATATTTTACTCAGACATCATTTTAAAACTATACACTTCAAACTTCACTTAAACATTTAATTTTCAAAAACGTGTAGAAATGTGGTAAATCGGACTTCAAAATAATTATATCAAAATATTGGAGCTATTAAAATAACTACAGATAGCAAGGAGCTATCAAACGACATGATAAAAATATATATATTATTATAGTTTACATTACAATGTTATATACCTGTAACATGGGAATATTTTCCAGTAAGTAGTGCGGACCGAGACGGCGTGCATATACAGTGACTGTAGTAGCGTTCCAATGCAACACCTGTGTACGCCAACAAATCAATGTTTGGCGTCAAAATTTGACCTGAACCATGGAAACTAACATCATCCCAACCCTGAAAAATAATATTTTCTTATACTTCTGCTTCCTATTATTATCAAAAACTATTTTATACATATAAAAAAAGCATATTTTTAACTGAATCTCTAAAAGACACAACCGTGACCGATGTCCATCTGATAAATAAATACATAGGAAAATTACGAATACTACCGGAAGTCGTAGCCTATCAACTGTGCAAGAGAAGTTATCATTTTTAAACGCAAGTAGCCGTAGCCAGTGCAGACTCAAGTTTCAAGACTCATCCAAAAGCTAACAGTGTGTGCCCAGCATGAGTGACAGGAACGTGGTCGCTATTACGTATTATAAAACATGCGCCAATAACTTAAAAACAGATATCATGTGGTTGAGTATGGCTATAATTCTTTTACACATTAAAATGCTAATTTGCACATCAAAATGCTTCTAATGGAATCAGTGTAATAAAAATTAAACGTATGTATACGTATTTATTGAATTCTAAGCGATAAATAAAAATAATTGTATTCAAAGCTGCCGCCTTTGACCTTGAAACCGACCTTTATCTTTCTGGCCACAAATAAATGAATTAACACACTTGAGCGACTCCGTGGCGAATGTAGCCACTCTTATCTCTAAGCATTCCTTTAGTGACTCAAAGTCGGAGTAACGTTTTAAGGGGAGCCATGTTTTTAAGTACTCGTACTAATCACATTTTGTAGTCCAACGGTTTCATATCAGGACTGGACGATGATTAGTTTTCAACTCATATAAAGGTCAGCATATTCTTCTCGAGCCAGCTTTAAGTCGTTCCTACTTTATGGCCAAGAGTAATTCACGGTAAGTTTTCAAAAAGTGTATCAATGAGTAGTTTTGCGACACGGCCCAAGACAGTCTCTCGATTATTAAAATAAAATGAAGCTTAGTTACGCCTCGTTAGGACACCCCAATCAAACCATGATTGATACAGAATAATTACCACTTTGATCTATTCTAACAAATGGCGAAGGCTTCTTTAGAGTTGCACACACCTTGTCATTTTGCCTGTTTGTTGTAATGCTCTTCAATCATAAAACATTTTTCGTCGATAAAGAGCAGATCGGACTGGGAATTTTTATCAATCTACTATCTTAAGCTAGAGGTTAGACATGTGTCATTCATTCATTTCTAGTGACCCGATCATTCAAGTATTGATTCGTCTTACAAAACGGGTCATTCGACCAGATCATTTAAATGGATCATTTCGAGTTTTAGTACTCTGTGATCTCTCCTGTCAATCGTTTGATCCGGAACGTTTAAAGGTGTAATTTAAATTATCAATACTTTCATGCAACCCGGAACAAATGAACAAATCATTCACGATTGACACATCTCTACTAGAAGTACTGATTTAAAGCATGTCCTTTGTATCGATGGTATGCAACTAACTTCAGGTATTGTTTGATAACTCGCGGCAGGGCCCTACTGTTCGCTAATCGTCAGTTCATGCGATTATATTTTTATTTCCTTTTAGAATTACGATGAATTATATTTTTTACAGCATTTACCTGGCAGGCTGCATAGTCCAACGACACATGGTCGATTTTTTTTGATCGTCCTCAGAAGAATTTTTGGCATTATTTAAGCTGCTGGTTTACCTGTCGATAGTGCGTCTTAAAAATTACCAAAGGGTCCATACTCGCTTTGTGCAAAGCAATTACTGCAATTTACTGCAATTTTTTCTCTTTAATACCCCACTCTATAATGTAATTGAAAAATGATATATGAAATGTCGTCACATCTATCGATGTTTTTTACATATTAAGCAACTCAATTTCAAATTTTATTTCAAAAATGGAAAAAAGAACTGTAATTTGTAACATTATTTGAAGTAGGTACCTGGGCGCCGAGCCTTTCGTTCATCCACCCATTACAGTCTATTACAGTGCATCGGTAAACATAGCCTTCCACCATAGATTGCCTCATAAGGGGAATTTTACCATAGTTGCCACGCCTAGCAGGCGAGTTGGCAACCGCAGTTTTTTATTATTTTAAATTAAAAAAAACTCTATTTTTATTTGAAGTAATAACTCCAGCGATTTGAAGAGAACCATTGAAAAGATGATCGTTGTGTCGAAATTAACAGTTTCATTGCACGGGCAAGTAAAGTTTGTTGCTTTGTGCGTGAAAACATAAAGAAAACGAATATTCCACTAATGAGATGGATTATTTCCCTCGTAAGTATCTACATTAAAAAATTGTTAGAGTCGTTTACGGGAACGCGATTACAAAAAAAAACATATGAAATTATCATCGATATACAACACGATCTTGATCAGTAAATGCGTAAAATTAAAAAAAAAACATACCATATCATCAGCAATTATTAGAACAATGTTTGGGCGCATTGATTGACTTCTTCCAAAACCTTCTGCGTTGGAAATGATTAATATACATGAAGCCACCGTTACAGCATATCTTGAAATCTCTTGAAATCTCATACTGAAAAAATGCTACAAGTTATGTCAACAGTTTGTAGATGATAAAATGTTAGTTTTCTTTGCTTGTTATAATTCTTTGCATTAGCCCAAACGCACTAATTCTTATTTGTCTTTGTGTTATGTAACCATAGATATAAGAAAGGAGGAAATATGCCCAGTAGTTGATAATGTATCGAAAATACTTACTCCTATAGCAAAGGCTATCTTTACCTACTATACATATACATGTACTATACATATGTATGTGCTCCACTAACATAGTGTATGTCAGTGGAGCACCACTAACTCGTCACAAGATACGGCGGCCGTACTACGCTATGCATCCGCATAAATAAAGTATAGTTGATATTTACATTGCTTGTTTAGTCACTTAGGAACATACTTAGGTATTAGTTAAGGAGTAATGTATTTGCTGCAAAAATAGTAGTCTATGTGATATTTGAAAACAAATATAACGTAGTAAGAGCAAGAAATAATAGGTCGGGGAAAAGTTTCTTCGTATTTTGTTTGTATAAAAATCTCTTTGATTGTGCTATTTGTATCCGGCTAATTTTAATATTAATACATGCAGAAAAATATTATATATAGCTTATCATTCATATCGTCCACTGCATTGCAATCTTTTAGGCACTGAGAACGCTTTCGTAGCTCGTGCAGAAAGGTTTTGGGACTTTGGATTAGAGCATGAGGGGGACGGAATGTTGACCTCATTAGTCGTGACCTCTCCAACTTAACGTTTAGGTTCAGTATGCCTCTCACTATTCGGTGCCGCTGCCGGTTTTCACCCTCGCGATCACTGAGACATCACTGAACAGTTGTGGTCTGGTCGTCATAATGAAGTCAATCTCATATTTTGTGGAACCGTCCGGGCTCGACCAGGTCCACTTCCTGTGGAGCCGCTTCTGGAGGAAAGAGTTCATCATAAAGAGTCTCTCTTTCTCCATGAAGTTGGCTAGCTGCTGGCACCTTGGGTTCCGTTGCCCTATTCCGAATTTCCCTACTTTCAGCTCACCGTTCTATCTTGTGGAGTAATCATCTTCCTACGTTAGTAAGAAAAAATGACCGACTACTGCAGCGTTAAAGTCAGTAGACAACCTTCGACAGTTGTGCAGGCCGTAAAAACCGGGCAATCGCGGCCGCCAACTTTATATAGGAGAGCAAAAAAACGGAAAGTTCAACCTTGAGTAAGTAAATTATATTTTATTGAAATCGATCCCATCGAATCTCTTCACGTTATTTGCTCGCGAATAATTTGAAAAGAATCGATGAGATCGAGAGAGAGAGAGAGAGAGAGAGAGAGAGAGAGAGAGAAATGATGTTTCAAAAGACGTTTGTTATATGTATAAAACAATTTGTGTAACAGCTTATCTACACCGTTCACCGACGTCGACGGCTCCGTGGTGCAGTGGCTTAGCAATGAGTTGTTGCGCTGTGGGGCGCGGGTTCGAATCCCGCACGGAACAAGTATTTGTATAGCCTACAAATAATTGTTCCGGGTCTGGATGTTTGTCCTTGTCCAATTTATGTTTGTAAACTGCCTCCACGACACAGGAGAAAATCCTAATGTCCCCACACTAACGTTTTTATAAAGAAAAAAAAACCGAAGATAATATTTCCACAATGAGTCTATAAGGTCAAGGTCTATACGCAATCATCTTCGTATAAGATTTTTTCAAAAGTGATTTAATAAAAATTAATTATGCAGTGTAATAAATTCAATGAAAATTATTACAGTATTCATAGTCAAACGATGTTTTGATTTATAACTTATTAGTAATTTTAGACTTATGTTTGGTAGTCGATATATTAAAATTATTGATTTTCGCCATCGATCACTAATAAAAAACGGCCGTTTCCGCAAAGTACTACGCATTCGACCGTTATCGTGAAACATAACCGGTGCCATTTTGTTCGATAACTTGTTGCTATCTTGTAGGTAGTGACATAATTCCGTTGCTGTATAAATCTTAGGATTTTTGATTTACAAAATGCGACAAGTAGTTTTGACAGTCCTCTTTTGATCTTAACACTCCTTAAAGAATTCTGAAGAGACCGAAACAGGTGAACATCTGAGACTGCAAGGTCAGGACTATATTATGGTGGCTGCATTAACACTTCCCATCCAAGCTTCCTCAAATTTTGCTGAGTGGCCAAAGATATGTGTGGTCTGGCGTTATCATGATGAAAGGCCACTTTGATTCATTCCGGCCGATTTTTCTCAACTTTTGACTTGAGTCTCATTAGTTGTTATAGTAGAGATCCAAATTGATGATTTTGCCCGGCGGTAAAAGTTTATACACGAAATACACAAATACACGATGCTCTGCCAATCCCACCATACACACAGCATCACCTTATTGCGTGTTAATCCTGGTTTTGCTACAGTCAGAGGAGCTTGACTACCCTTTGATAATGATATTTTTCGCATTTTGTTTTCGCAGATTTTTCATCATCAGTGATCAATCTTTTCAAAAATGTTTCGGTATCATTACGTTTCAATAGGGAATCGCAAATGTATAAACGATTCATTAGGTTTCTTTCAGTGAGCTCGTGTGGTACTCAAATATCAAGTTTTTTGTATAGCCCAGACTATTTGAAATGGATAGAAACTATTTTGTGGTCAATCCTCAAGTCTTTGGCTATAACGTATTCCGCTAACTGAGAAGGGCTTAAATTGGTGCAAGGCTGAATTAAATTTAAAAAAGTGGCAAAATGAGTAAGCTTTGCTTTTAAGCTTCCACGTCTTCTAACTAATTCTTTCAATTTAGCGTCAGACATTAATCTAAGAAGTCTTAATATACAATTAAAATACTATGCAATTTTTTAATGCAAAAGAAAAGGCATACAAATATAAAAATGTAAAAAATAAACGCAACAGGTGGCTAAGAAGCAAAAAAAAAGCGGCCAGATGTTACTTTGCAATTGATAAAAAACGGTTAATTAGTTCACACAATGAAAGGAATGTCGAAGCGTAGAAAAAACTAAACGGGTGTGGCGAACACGTGGGTAAAATAAAACTGAGCGCGAACAAAGGCGTTATGGTCATAAAAGTTAATAAAAGGGATGCTATGCGATGTATATGAATGCGAAAACAATAAGATAATTTAATAGTTAATTTAAATAAACTTTAATAATTTAATATTTAGATGCTTATAAAGAGATCAACGTGCGATGACCCATATAGTATCATTTTAAATTAAATGAAATTAAGAAAGGCAGGAAAAAGAAAAGATTAGAACGGACTCACTCAGTAAAATCTGATGTTGACTGTCCTTTAAATGTCCTCCAAAATGTCGGCTGGTCGGCAGTCTATCCAAAGTCCACGGGCGAATTACGCAGCAAATAAGACGGCGATCTCTTTAAGGCGTCGAAGGACCACTGTTGGGTATCAAGCTCCACTTGTGCTGGTGGAATTCTTGACTAAATAAGAACTTCAATATGTAGACTGTGTAGGTAATTTATTGGTTGCTATAAGAGAGATAGCCGTAATGCGTGCGTTCGCGACCGGGTTGTTCCGAGCAAGAAGATGTTGCAGCGGTGCCACTTTGTCTCCATGAAGGTGGTGGGGCCGTGAAGCGCTCGCAGAACAGGTTTGAGGTCCGCTGCCCGACGACACGAGCCGGGGAGTATCATAACACACACTGAACCTAAACGTTAAGTTGGAGAGGTCACGACTAATGAAGTCACGACCTTTCAGCACGAGCAACGAAGCCGTTCTCAGTGCCTAGAAGATTGCAATGCAGTGGACGATATGAATGATAAGCTCGTGGAAACTGTCCATGCGGTCGGAGCTAAGTTTTGTAAGACCCGCCGCAAAAGAACACAAAAACTCTCCGATCACACTCTTAATCTCATGGCTGTTAGACGGAATATGAAGCTGCAGTCTTCAGTAGATTTGACAGCATACAGGCAACTGAACATACGGATCTCCAAATGCATGCGGTGGGACTTACGCAACTTTAATACTGCTCGTATTGAAGAAGCGATCGAGCGGAACTAGGGCTCCAAAGTCTTTTCTAGAGATCTGTCTGCCAGAAAGAGCCAACTGTCGAAGCTGAAGACCGAGTGTGGTAGCGTCGTTTCCGGGACACTTGCGACTTTGAGTGAGATTAAGAGGTTCTATGGGCAGCTGTACACGTCATCGTTGGAGCCACACTGTGTGAGTAACGATCCAAGAGCGAGTCCTATCCGACACTATTCCGATGATATCCCGGACGTCAGTCTGAGCGAGATAAGAATAGCTCTCCAGCACCTTAAAACAGCAAGGCCCCAGGCGAGGATGAAATTACAGCGGAGCTTCTGAAAGCGGGTGGAAAACCGATACTTGAAGTCCTTCAGAGGCTCTTTAATTCCGTCCTCAATGGTGGCATTACACCGGAGGCGTGGAGCAGAAGTGCGGTGGTCTTATTCCTCAAGAAAGGTGACAACGCTCTCTTGAAGAACTAAAGACCGATTTCCCTTCTGAGCCACGTCTACGTGCTGTTTTCGAGAGTCATTACGAATCGTCTCGCGCGCAGACTTGACGACTTCCAGCCTCCCGAACAAGCCGGTTTCCGAAAAGGCTTTAGCACCATAGACCATATACGTACCCTTCGGCAAATTGTACAGAAGTCCGAGGAGTACAATTTGCCACTATGTTTAGCGTATGTGGACTATAAGAAAGCCTATGATTCCAGCGAAATTTGGGCAGTGCTGCAGTTCCTTCAGCGATGCCAAGTTGACTGTCGGTATATCGAAGTGCTGAAGTGTTTGTACAGTAGGGCTACGATGGCTATCCGAGTACAGAACCAGAGTACGAAACCTATCCAATTCCAGAGAGGTGTAAGACAGGGTGACTTTATATCCCCGAAACTCTTCACCAATGCATTGGAAGACGTTTTCAAGCTTCTGGACTGGAAAGGATACGGTATTAACATCAATGGCGAGTACTTCACTCACCTTCGATTTGCCGACCATATAGTCCTTATGGCAGAATCGCTGAAGGACCTAAGCACTATGCT